GTCAGATTCTTAGTCTTTGTCATCTTTTTCCTGCACTGGGAGCTACTCATTTTATGGCCTATAACATATAAATATATATTAGAATTCCAATATAATATTACATGTGTATTACAATTATATTATCTTAAAATACTATTCTATACTATTGTCTAAATAAAAATAAAAATAATAATTTAAATTTAATAATAAAAAAATAATAAAAATACAATTTAAAATCAGTCATTTAAATGCGTATATGCATAAATGAATTTAGGCATCAAAATAATATAAGGTACCATATTAAAAATGCATGTTCAATACGAGATATGCTAAAGATTACGTTTAACTATTATTAAATTATTTTTTAAAAAGGAACTCAAAATGATTGTTAGATGACTGCAAATGTAATGAAAATGTAAAAATAGCAGAAATGAGCATGCACAATTAAAAATATCTTCAATATCATTGATCTGTTATTATACTGATGTATCGTGCATATCTAGTGCGAACTACTTTCTGCAGTGACATTTCTTTACACATGGTAAGTGATTTCGAGCAGTTATTTGTTTAGATCCCTCCCGTACCACTGTACTTGGCTGTGTGGCCTAAAGACAGGGTGATGGGTAATTATTATCATTTATTCAGGTGATTATGGGCTATGTGGCTTTTAGATGGAGCGCACAGATGGACAGGCTTGGCTGCCACTGTGTCCACGATCCGTTTGATGCCGCCTGTTTGGCCCATCTTAGTTTTAATAGCACCACAGGAAATATGGCCATCCCTCTCTCGCAGGGCGTGGTGTTCCTGTCTGGAACGTTAGATTTCCCTAAACGAGCTGCCATGTGCCTCTTTAGTGAAGGGCTTACTTGAAGGAAGATGAATGGATATCGATAAGCTGTGAAATATTAACATGAGCACGCTGTATGGAATTCTCCTTAGGATTGGACAGTGAGAATTGGACAATGAGGCGACTTCTCCCACTCAATAGGATTGATGTCATTTATCTGGATCAATTCCAGTTACTGGAAGCTGAAAAGCTGTTAGGCCCTTAAAAAAATGCAGAAATCTGCGGTTTCTTTTCAGTTCAATCCGTCTATGTGAAAAGCATTGTGATAGCCATTGGCAGGAGGTGTTTGAATAAGCACTAAATTCCATCTGAGCTAATTGTTAATTGGCAATTGACTGATTTAAATCCAATCTGCATGCTTTGTTCTCTTGTTCTTCGTTTGTTTCTGTGAACGTGAGCCGATATATTATGGATGATTCAACAAAATTCATGCAGCCTCCAGGACAGGAAGGGATTCAGGGATCATTGTGAGGGATTGAGACATCCGTCTTCATTGAAAGAAGCCTTGTTCACTTATTATTCCATTCTTTCCTACTATAGAACCAGCAGGATCAGAACTACACTGTGCTGAAGACCAAATCCAACAGTATGACTGTGGATGGACTCAAGCCAGGGACCACATACATCTTCCGGATTCGAGCCCGCACGGATGGAGGCTATGGGAACTACAGGGGAGAGATTGAGTTGGAGACAAGCCATGAAGGTGAGTGGAAAACCATCCTTCATACACCTTTATACACCTTCATAAATCAACCAGAAACTAGAAATGTTTTACCTGTTTAAGATCTCTTGCTTCCATCAGTGAAGTGAAGCCCTTCAGAACTTTTGATGATTAGCCAAAATGTTTTTTTTTCCTAGTCTCAGAGAACTGACTATAAAATCTGACCCTAAAATTGTCATTTTAAAATGGGCAGTTCTGCTCCTGGATGCTGATTTGCCAATATCATCCATGCCAAAATGCATAATATAATTTCATTACACAAAACATTGGTCATCCTATCACTGCACATCTGAAATAGTTTACATGTCACAGACTATATACTGTATATACTGTATATATATGTGACCCTGGACCACAAAACCAGTCTTAAGTCGCTGGGGTATATTTGTAGCAATAGCCAAAAATACATTGTATGGGTCAAAATTATTGATTTTTCTTTTATGCAAAAAATCATTAGGATATTAAGTAAAGATCATATTCCATGAAGATATTTTTTAAATTTCCTACTATAAATATATTAAAACGTAATTTTTGATTAGTAATAGTCATTGCTAAGAACTTCATTTGGACAACTTTAAAAGCGATTTTCTCAATATTTTGATTTTTTTTAATAAAATTGTAATGAAGCCTATGATTTTACCATAATTAAGGGGGTTTTAAGCACATTGCTTTGTGGTGTATTGCTTTATTAGAAACCCATTTACAGTGTCCTTGATTTTGTAGATCCCTCTATAATTTCTGACTGTGTAAGTCCCACCAAACCCTTAATTTCTCACTCACAGCAGAATATCTTCAAATATTCAAGGACATTCGTTTCGGCCAAACTGTAACCTGTGTCACACGCGTGTATTTCTCCATCACACGCCACTGATTGAATTTCCGATCCGCCGCGCGCATTGAAAGAGGCTGTGAAATATTCATACATGTGAACACGTTCAATTAGTCCCCTGAGATAGACGAGGCTCCTCACGCGCTGCAGTTTACTCTCTTGCTGCGGTGTCTGAACATGTAGATTTTCGGTCAGTGTTCCCCTGAAGTGTGAGCAGCTTCAGCTGAGAGTAGGCAGATGCCCCGCTGTTTTTGTCTCATAGCTTGTGTACCATATGGTACACTCCACCATTCTGTCCACATAATTAGGGACGCTTTCTTAAATCTTTTTATTGGAACATTATCTGGAAAAATTCAGCTTATTTTACATCCATTCCCTGTTTCTCTACTAAGATATTAGACTTCATTTGGATAACTTTAAAGGCGATTTTCTCAATATTTAGATTTCTTGCTCCCTCAGATTCCAGATTTGCAAATAGTTGTATCTCGGCCAAATATTGTCCTATCATAACAAACCATGCACAAATGGAAATCTTATTTATTCAGCTTTCAGATGATGTATGAATCTCAGTTTCGAAAAATTGGCCCTTATGACTGGTTTTGTGGTCCAGGGTCACACACACACGCACACACACACACACACACACACACATATATACATATATACACGCGTGTATTTCTCCATCACACGCCACTGATTGAATTTCCGATCCGCCGCGCGCATTGAAAGAGGCTGTGAAATATTCATACATGTGAACACGTTCAATTAGTCCCCTGAGATAGACGAGGCTCCTCACGCGCTGCAGTTTACTCTCTTGCTGCGGTGTCTGAACATGTAGATTTTCGGTCAGTGTTCCCCTGAAGTGTGAGCAGCTTCAGCTGAGAGTAGGCAGATGCCCCGCTGTTTTTGTCTCATAGCTTGTGTACCATATGGTACACTCCACCATTCTGTCCACATAATTAGGGACGCTTTCTTAAATCTTTTTATTGGAACATTATCTGGAAAAATTCAGCTTATTTTACATCCATTCCCTGTTTCTCTACTAAGATATTAGTCATGATTATTTTTGTTTGTGATAACACTCATGAATAATGTCAGAATAGTTGCCTTGGTTTTCATAAAGTGACTTTAACAGTTTCTAATTGTGTTTACAGTGTGCTACTATATTTTAAATAGCATTGTTAGTTGGTTAAGGATGTAGATTGGTAGATATTAATTTATTAATTTTAAAATTGAATGGCATATTTGTACTTTTTCAAAAATGTAAGAATTAAAAAAAATAGTTACAAATTGTTTAAATTAATGGCGACATGCACATAAAATATGCACTTTCCCATATACATGTAAATAAATTGTAGCCTAAAATTTTTATGTTAATAAAAAATACAACCTTTTATGCATAAACCATTGATTGAACAACCGTGTAGAGCCATATGTTTACTATGGTCTAACAAAAAATAATGCAGTTATATGAATATCATGGCAGAACTGTGGTAAATTTTCATAATTGCAAGAACCACTGAAAATAATCTCTGCTTGAATGTTGATTACTCTCTCTCTATCAGATATGCTGGCTGTTGGAGATCCCACTCAGCAAACCATACTGGCCATCTCTGTGGCAGGCGGAGCGGTGCTTCTGGTGTTGCTGGTGGCCTGTTTTGTTGTGAGTGGACGGTAAGAGTAATTTACTATTCTTTTTTACATTCAAAACGTACCTTATTCTTTTAAAATCTCCAGACGCCAAAGTATGCAGCCTTCTGTATGATGAAAAAGCAGTTAATTGGCAACTTCTACATAGACAGACTTGATGAATCAGTTCTAATCTGGGTTGTTTAACTGTCAACAAATCCATACGAAGGATAAAGAAACCTTGTTTCATTTAATCAGCGAGGAACCATAAATATAGAAAGACAGAATCAAGCAAATGAGATGTTGTTATGCATCTGTCAGTGTGTGTATGCCTTTGTATGTGTGCATGTGTGCATTTACACAAAATCAAAAGGTCACAAAATTGTTTAGCCCTCTGATTGCATAGCGTGATCTGTAGAGATGAAAGCAAACACTTGAGAGAACAATTGAAGAGACAGACATAAGGGAGAAAAGCAAGAGCAGATGCCCTGTACGGCTGAGAATGAGGGAGCTAATGTAATGGAAATGAAAGGAAAGAGTGGATCAGAGGAGACGAGGAACAGAAAGCAGAAAATAAACCGTTCTCAATGACATGAAATGGGCAGAATGAGTCATGAGCTGATCTTTGTGTAGGAGGGTGCCCTTTTGGTCTTGCTAGATTGTTATATCCAAATTTCAGTAAACTGTAATTGTAACTGTTATATTATTTTGTTATATATATATATATATATATATGAAATTGTAATAATTGTAATATTTTTTAAATAATATTAATAAATAAAATATTTTATTTATATAAATTATATTATTTAAAATATTAATAACATTGTATATATGTGTATATATATATATAAGTATTATATTTCTCATATAAAAAAATAAAACTATGAGACAATAAAGGCAATGTGCAGCAACCCAATTTAATTTCTTTCAGCAATACAGCAGAAAGACTGGCATCGTTACAGCTTTTAGTATTGACCGGCACTAGCATTCCTTTTTCAAAGGCTGATTTACTAGGGATTTTTCGGCTGTTGTTGGATGCTATACGATCCAGTATGTTGTAACACAGAATGAGATTTCCGTCTGCTTTGCAATTTGTAACCCATAATGCTCTGTGACAGAAAGGTCCCGTAGGATGTGTTATGTCGGCCAAGTTTATGCCTGCAGGCCAAAACCTTGGTGCTGCCACCTCTTATTCATGATTTCCACCACCCCCAACCCAATGCATGTGTGACTGCTTGTGGGAAGACCCTCATGGAAGCAATAAAAACAGTTTTGATGCTGATTTCGAATGACGTGTTTCTAGTGTGGTGTGGAGGCCAATGAATCGTAATGGTGAGTGAAGCTAAACTCTGTAATTGCATTCAGTCCCTTGGCATTGGATTATACTGTGCTATACTGGACTTAACAAGGTATTCAGTTCACAGTGCCCACGGTTCTTTTACTGCTTTCAGAACCTCAGCTGAGCTTTAAGAGAGTAAGGCCTTTCCATTATTGACAGTTTGAGGTCATTGATTTCTGATTCTCTCGCTGAGCTGAAAACATACATCAGTTTTTTGCAAAGTTTAACTCTAGTGGGAATTGTAAGCAAGATGTTAGGGTTTCAAATGCTTAAATTGAGCGAGGTCATGGAAGATCTGAAGAGTTTTTTTTTGTTTTTTTTTTGACAGATTTCATACAGCATGATTTGTGACCAACCTGGAAATGTCAAAAAATTTTAAATCTGTGATTTGTCTGAAATTAATTCTTAAAAGTTAAAATAAGAGAAAATTTCTTTTCTGAATTTCTAGTTGCCATAATTTTTTTCCCTCTGGAATTCTCTAGAGGTTTTCTTTGTGCATGCATTTTTGTGTCTAGTAATCATGTAGAACTGGAACAAATCATGGTAATTCACTGGTCAAGAGCGATGGGAACTCTGGCTTGTGTGTTTGTCTTCTGTTTGCACACCGAAGTTGGGGTTGGTCAGTGAAATATGAAGAGTTCAGGCATGTTTAGTGTGTTCAACTTTGTTTTTGCACCGATTTGGGCTCCCAGTGATTTGGAGTTGGCCAGCATTCTGATACTTGATGGGGAAAAAACAGCTCTGATTGGCTGGTGATGATGCTGGCAGATGGTCTTCGTTTGTCTTTCATTTCCCCCCTATTTTCTGCTTCTATCCAGAAAAGCAATTAAAAATGGAATACACACTTTAAAGACTTTAAAGATCCTTGTGATTTTGTCTGTGGAACATTTCAGTACAATGACAGATGCTGCAGTACGTCTAGCAGGTGCCTACTAACCAAAGACCCACACATTTGCAAGTCTGAAGAGCATTGTTTGCCAGCCATGAAAACTAGTTGAAGACTTCAAGCTTCTGATATTAAAACAATTCCCTTTACCTCCGGTTGGACGGTCTCCAAACCATTCGCTAAAGCTCATGTTGGATGAAATTATTGCAGTTTAATGATGAAATCTAGAAGCCACATGGCTGTTTTCTGTAGGAATGATAAATGAATTGTTGGTTAATATTCCATTAGTGGGGTTATTGCATTTCTGATTACTGGTTATGTGTTTGTGTTATCCGAGGAACCTTTTCGGCTTTTTTCACTGCCTGTCTTACTTAATCACATCAAGATTTGGCAGATTTGTAGTGTGCTAAATCATGCAAGAAGGGGAAAAATATGATATATTGTGTAATAAAATAAGTGCACCCCATATAACAGCTGCTCTCTGATGGTTGAATATTCTATGGGACTCTTCAAAAATGAGTAAATTATTCAATTCTATCAAATTGTACGACCACAAAATTGTCCATTTCAGACTGCAAACATCATTACAACAAAAAATGGCACAGGCTGCTGTTTCTCTGTGCTGGTTTTTACTAGTTTTGAGAGCATCTCATAAACTATCAATGGGTAAAAAAAAACAGTTTGGTGGATGAAATCTAACTATTTGTGATATAGCAGCTGAAAACAGACATATACAATCATAAACTAAGAGATTTCAGTGCCACATTTCTCTCTGTTTAGTGAAAACCCACAGTGTTGTGTAACTGATGCCATTTAGGGGAAGTAGTTTTTGTTCACAATCTACCAACGTGCGCGAATGTAGCTTGTAAATGTGTTTTGTTATTCAGTTCTTTGTTTGAACAGTGTAGATCATGCTTTGGAGGCACAGCCGAGGTCTTAATGGGTCTTGTTTGGTTGATTTAGTGCAGACATTACCTGGGGTTTGATACCGTACCGTGACTGTTTAGTCAGTCCATTTGTATGTGTTTAACAGAGAAATATAGCAACACATGCAAGTATACACACAAAATGGAATTATTATGCCATTCTGAAATGGTTGCATGAGCGTGTTCGGCTGTTAACCGGGTTTTTTTTTTTTTTTTCCAAACAGTTCCATCTGGCTATTCCAGCGCCTTTCCAGGCAGAAATCGCTGGCCGTGTAGCCCCTGAGCACATCATGACTCACTCACTCTCAGCATGCATTGCAACTTCTCTTAGAATTTCATTTCCATTTGTTTGATGGCAGGCCAGCTGTAGATGTGTCTGAACGCATCAGCAGAACATTCCGGAATATAGAGGTGGATGATATGTTGGATGCATGTGCACTCGCTGGAGATGAGAACAGGATGCGCAATCAATCAGCTCGATTTTCTTCTGGATTTCAATTAGCGTAATGAACCCTTCTCAAATGATAGAGTCAGTGTTTTTAAAACACCTGTCAGAGGAGCTTAGAATTTATGAGTGTCCATTTCCTCCAAACACACGATCATTTCCTCTTTTTGTAATTAGCCAGATTGTAAATCTATTTTTTTATTCTCAGGTAGGAGGATAGGTTTATAGCGATTTCTCTAGGGACCACACTGTCAATTTCTAGTTGCCAAAAAAAAAAAAAAAATTGTTCTGATTTACTATTATCGCAAAATTGCCAATATTCCTCTGGTTTAAAAAAAAAAAGAGAAAGTATTACAAATAATTTGGAATTACTTTCTATATTTTCTGATACACTTGGAATCAAAAGTTATTATTTACAGTATATATAAAAGGTAGTATATCCACGTTTTGTCATTATGTTGTTATTAGTTCTGTATTCTTTAGCAACCTTTATTTATTTGTATGTTAAATCATAAGATTATACTATGACCTCTCAGTTATGCTTAAAAATATAGCAGAATATAATAACTGTTTTTTTGGTCATGATAGATTTATTTTGGTCTGACGGTTTGTCTTCATCAGATGTGTCAATATGTCCTTGTGCTTCTCTGAAAAAGTTTACAAAATTACAAACTTCTGGAGAGAAATCATTAATAATCCATGATATTGACCAGCAAACGTTATGGCTCACGGATGCATCGACTCTTTTTTTACAGATTTTTTTTTTCTTCAGATAAAATGCATGCTTCAGTGAACTGTTCCAAATTAGCATTATCCTTTAGGAGAACAGGCACATGGTAACATGCAAAGACATCAGTTGAATTTTGTTCTGTTGTTCATGCCACCCTACTGGGATGTATTGACCATGCCAGTGGCTTGGCATGTCCTTGTAGCAGGTGAAAGCCAGAGCTGGTCTGCCGTCTGCTACATGCTGAACAGATCTCGAAACCCAGCTGGAAGCTGCTTTACCTCATTAGCTCAATGAGCTGGAGTATCATTATGTAATGAACTAGTTTGAGGGTCAGAGGACAGAATTGCCACATTAAAACGACAGTGTTTTATGTTCGTAGCACATCATCTCATGCTGGTTGTTCAAGGAAACCACTTGGTTCTTTGTCTGATGGGATCTAGTTTATATAGCCACATTATTTATGTGCATATAGGCTCAAAAATCAATTACGGCAAAAGAAAAAGCTTGCAAATTATGCACTGTCAGAACAGCTTGTCACTAGGGTGGTACCCTTAAAGAGACAACTTTGTATTTCATCTACACCTAAAAGGTGCATAGTAGTACCTTAGAGCATAGTAACATGTAGCATGTTACTGTTGCAAAAAACATGCTGGTTTTTTTGTGTGGATTTTTAAGGCGTTGCTACAGGTATGTGGTTATTTTGAGTAGTTTTCTCA